AAAACTAATCACCTCTTTTCCCAATCATTACAAATCGAATGTTTTTTAGATCATTCAGATCCGATACTCCGTTCTCTCAAAAACTCGATTTGTATTTTCTGCACTTTTTGCTCCGTATCTCCGTAACGGCTGGACCTGCCTTTGCCAAAAACTAATCAGCACATCTTCCTATCAATAGGGATCGAAGGTTTTTTAAAGCATTCAAATCGGTTGATCCGTGCGCCCAAAAACGTGACTTGAAATTTGTATCCATACGTACATACACACACAAACACACATCCATTTTTTCTGAGGTAACTATGCCAAAATGTTCAGAAACCTTCAAAACGTCGAAAAATGCAAAAAAAATTCATTTTCGATTTTTGGCCCATTACTATAATGACCCTACGGAAAGTTAATAAATAGACATTTTTACCGTTTCACCAACAAGCATAATATAGCGTTACCATGACAACACTGGAAAACATAAAATTAGCAAATCGGATTTTCTAACTAAAATACAACTTGTCCTTCAGAAAGTACATGAGTAATTATTACATTTTTATTATACGTAATCATAAATATATTATATTTTAATATTGTCTTCGGCTATAAGTGAACTCAAAAGTTTGGCAGATGACAGTTTTGATTTTGACAATTTTGACGCCTCAAATATTTTCAATGTCATACAATGATAAGAGGTTTTTTGTAATTTTTTCGGGTGTAAAGACTGTTAAGAATAAACGTAGACACTGACTCCAAGCAATGATGGAAACTTGTTAGAACAAACATACTTCAACCTTTTCCCTTTGGACCTTATCTCAAAACCCGTACACTTCAGCTGTTATGACGAAGTTAACATATTATATAAATTCTTGATAGCTTTTAAGATAAAAATATTTTATTAATAAATTCAAAAATTCCATTTTTAGGTCAAATTATATGATATTTTATTAAACTTCCCGTAGGCAAGTTATAGTAATCGCAAAAAAATCGAAAATCAAATTTTTTATATATCTTTACGTTTTCAAAGGTTTCTGAACATTTTGGCATACTTTAGAAAAAATGGATGTATGTGTGTGTGTGTATGTATGTATGTACGTGTGTGTATGTATGTGCGGATACAAATTTTTCGTCGACGTTTCGGGAACACGGATCAACCGATTTGAATAATTCAAAAAACATTCGATTCGCATTGATAAGGAGACGTGCTGATTAGTTTTTGGCGAAGGCAGGTCTAGCCGTTCCGAAGATACGGGGCAAAAAACGAAAACGGCAACTCATTTTTTTAAGAGACGGAGCGTCCGATTTGAATTTTTCAAAAAACATTTTACACTTGTATCAAATTTTCATGAAGGCAGGTCTAGCGTTTCGGAGATCTAATGATAAAAGTAAAAAAAAGCCATTTGGCGGTCAAAAATGATCATTAGACATATGCACATTAATTATCAGGTATTTCATAGAGATTTTAACAATAAGTATAAAAATTTTTTATATTTCTATGGGTTCCGTACCAATGCTTATCCGTTAGACGGCGGCGCGGCACTTGCGCGCTTTGACATTTCGTCTCTATGCAGATAAAGCAGTACGATTGCTTTGAAAAACAGTTCAGAATTTCCAAAAAATGTCAAAATGAAGAAACATTTTTCTTTTTCAAAAAAAAAATTGTTTTCAAAAAAAGTCAAATTTATAGTTTCTCAAAAATCTAATTTTTTGAATAAACCATTTTAAAAAATGTTACCGTTTTTAAAAAATAATAATTTTTGGTACGCGAAGTTTCAGCAATTTGCCTCAAGGCACGATGCCTTAATTGCCTGAAGACAGAATTCCACTTACAGCTAGTTTATATCAATATTACAACTTACCCAAATTGGAATCTGGTGTAGTAGCAAACATACCATCGTAAACATTGTCTCTAGATCGTGTGGCCCAAGAAAATGATTAAAAGGGAAATATCCTCAAAACGTGCCTGCTGCAATACACAACAAGAGTTTACAATTTTACACCAAATATATATACCACAATTTTTTCACTCGCCTATTAAAAACCCAAAATCCACTCCCAAATATTCTCTGGAGGTGCATCTGGTGGTGCAGAAGTCTGGAAAAGAAACAAAACTTCCTGGTCATCTGGTGCATGGGTTTCATCTTCATCACTATCCCTTTGTAGAAGGAAACTGGGTTCTTCAAAATCAGGTGGTTGTTGGCTGAGTGTTGGGAAGTGACGTTTTGGTCGAGATTGTAGCTTCAGTTGCTAAAAAACAGAAGAAATTTAGATATATATATATATATATATATATATATCCACAAAGTCTAATAATCGGGCATAACATCAATAAAAAACATAAATCTTATATTTCATTCATCTTTCAAAAATTTATTTTAAATCCATATGTTTCCGCTATAATCATATTTATCATAAAGTATAAATATGCTCTGCTATCATAGTTTTTAAATTGCTTCGGATTTCTTAGACATAAAACTTATACGTACTACGGATAACAAACTATTACCAAATTGGTACCAAAAACCAACTAACTCTGGACGTTACCTTAATTATTTTTTTCTTATTATCCACTCAAATAAAAATAGGTACTATAATAAATCTAACTGACCACGCAATACCATACATTAAAGAATTGTATATTCCTTGGAAAAAACTTTTTTTAAATCTGGACCCCGACTTGTAAACAATTAGTACAACGACTAGTACTATTTTTACCAAACAAAAAACCCCTTTTATATCGAAACGACTTAGAAATCTTGTTTATCAAATAAATTGTCTAGATTGTAATTTAATTTACATAGGAGAAACAAGCCAGAACTTAATGAACGTTTACAACAACATAAAAATAATTAAAAAATTCGAAGCAATTTAAAACTATGATAGCAGAGCATATTTATACTTTAAAACACAGTATGGACTTTTCTAACCCAACTTAAAAATCTGAATTATCTTCTATGTTTGTGTATAAGCTAGAAATGCCATTTATAATATAAAAATCTAGAAGGTCTGGGTGTTTGTTTCTGTCCGTAGGCCAATAAGTTGGTCTTCCAGTCGATAAGAATGAATAATTTTTCGGTATTTTGGTATTTTTTCATTTTAAAACCCGGAATACCGGTAAATTACTGGTATTTTTATTATCTTAAACAAACCTATACAAAATTGAAAGTTACTAGTACAAATATAAAAAAATGTATATACAACTACAACTATATTCAACTAAACAATAAAAACAATAAAATAAATATCCAATTTAATTAATTCATTATCACTATCGAGTATATTGAGTACTTTTCACCAAAAACAAACTTATGAGTAAGAAAGACCAAAACTCATAAAAGATCATATTACATTATTATAATAAACTGTATTGTCTGTATCCGATGTGTTAAATTAGCACAATCTCCAATATTTTAAAAAAATATTTTTTACACTAATTTGAGATCGGATACTTTGTCGATATTTATAAATAACTAGCAACCCGACGAACTCCGTTTCGCCACCAGATGGTTTCGTGATAAAAATGAAGAAATTTTTTGATTGTTTTATATTTGAAAAGGAAAAATTTGATCAGAAAGGAAAACCCGACTTATTTTTATATATATAGAAGATAATCTATTTGCAATTATTTAAACAATTATTGATTATTTTTATTACTCGAATTTTTAATTACGGTGCGTGAAGTTCCAGCAATTTGCATTAGGACACGATGCCATGCACCACTAATTTTCTTAGCTATAAACCTTGCGGAGCCCGAGACCTTTCCAACGAATGCAAATTGCCGAAATCGGTTCGTACGTTCTGGAGTTATTTCATCAGGAAGGAAAACCCGACTTATTTTTTATATATAGAAGATAAGTTACTACAATTGTTGAGTATTGTTATTTAAAACAATTTGATGCTTCTATAGTATTTTCAACTTCAAACGTTTTCGAACAATAATATTTTATAATTGTAATAAGGAGTAAAAATATTTAGTAATTATCATAATTATTATGTACAAAGTTAGAAAAAAATAAAGATCACGCAGGGGTAATCTATATGATATAAAATATTTTGGCGCAAATATCACTTAAAAAACTGTTACATTTTTACATAAGATGAAACAAGCATAATTATCTATCAGCCCAATTCTATTTATTGTAACACGATATGTAGCCCTTAGTAAAGCAATAAATATTCAGTTGAGATAATATTTGACATTTGTTTATCCTACCTATAGAATCACTTGAAGATATAGCTGTTTATATGCGATTATGGATTTTAAAGATAAATTTGTTCCGAGAAATTTAAACTTTAACGTATTATGTATCAGATAGCGCTTATGTAAAAATACCAGTATTTTTGGGGTAATACCGGTAAAATATCGACGAAAAATCGGGCGGTTTACCGGTAATTCGGTACACCGGGATACCGGTATTGCATTCCCTTGTCACCACCCACTATAAATCTGGGTCATAATGTATCAAAAAAAAAAAAAAAAAATATGAAAATAGACTTCAAAATAGTGTGCACTTACTTCTGCAAAGTCTTCGTCTTCAGGAATTGCTTTGGCTTTCTTGCTGGTCTTGACCACATCTGCATTTGTGACATTCAATTCAGCTTTAGCAGGTGCTTTTTTGTTGGTCTTTACCATTTCAACATTTTACATCTTTAGCAAGTTCCACATCATCTTTTCCAGGTGCTTCTTTACTACATCTGCTTCAACTTCAGCTTTACTATCATCGGCAGACTTCATCAAATTTTCCAAAGTTTGTTTTATTTTTGCAACATTAGGGTCATCAGCTTCTTGAATGTTGGCAACTAGGACAAATTGAGGCAAGGTATCTTGATTTTCTTGGTTTTGCTGGTCTTGGAAAAATTGTTGATCAGACATTTCATTTTCGGTGGCTTCGTCGGTTATGATCTGGTTTTGGGATGTGGTGAAGGTTGTTGCATCGGATGTGGATTGTTCAGTTGAAGGTGAAGATGGCTCTGGGGTGCTTGGTGTGATTTCCTAGGGAGGAAATAATTTATTATGAAAAAATTAATTGGAAACTTGTTATAACAATTCACAAACTCATTGATGGTTTGATAGTCTTGGTCAGGGCCAAGTTTTTGGCTCGATTTGAGTGAGCAATTGATCAAAATTTGGTTTGTTCATGCACTAGGAGTTGACAAATTTTAACTATAGTGCAGTAAATGGAGAGGAAAAAAGGGTATAACCCCTGAATTTTTTTTACTGTGCTCCAAATTGCATGAAATTTTAGAATTAGGTTCATCTTAACCTCAAGTTCAAAAGTGAAAACAATTCGGGTTCCGGCACTACCCCCGGGGGGACCGCGAGCCCTTAATAAATGAGTGGACATTGAACCGTGTTATAGCTAGAAAACTTTTTTAATGTTAAAGGATATATTTAAAACATATTTTTTATGCCTTTACTTCAACCTCTAAATTAAGAAAATAACACTTAAAAAAAATTCGGTATGATATAAAGAATTACGTATAAAGTAAATATTTTATGGTTTCTCTATCTTGATTATCAAATGTTTAACCCTTATAGACCCCTTGATAAAAAATTGTTTTAAAAAAATATTTTGAAATTGAAAGAAAATTAAGAAATTCTAAATGATATGAATGTTATTTCATTTTTTTTCGAAAATAATTACCATATACACAATTTGTTCAACTCTTAAAACCACCCTTGAATAAAAACAGTTAATATAACACTAGTACCCCAGTATAATTTAATCTAAACTCGTATATTTGTTGTTCCTTGTTACTGCAATTATTAAACTTTCATTGACTATAGTGATGTAAAACTATATTTATTTATTTAACACACGTTGACCTTTCAGCCATAAGATACTTTACTATAAGAATAAATCGCCTGGCAAAATTCTGTACCATGAAGATAGATATATTTCATGATCTACATAGTAATACAAAATTTTGTATTAATAATATATATATATATATATATATATATATATATAGTCAATAGTTTTGGGCACGAAATACTGCCTACTTATACATTGCTCGAAATATTGATGGACACAATTTGACAAAAATGCAATTAGTTTTTGGGTCATAACTTCTTTAATTTCTACTTCATCACAATTTGTAATATACCATTTGAAAGGTTAATAAAAGGGCTTTTAGTGCCCAGAAAATCGAAAAGTATTAGTTTTTTGAAAAACTATGATAGACATTTTTTGCTTATAATTAGTTCTTCTATCGGTTTCTGACGTTATTTTGAAAAATGTAATTAAGAAGGGATGTCATCCACCCCGAATTGTTTTCACTTTTGAACTTGAGGGTAAGATGAACCTAATTCCAAATTTCATGCAATTGGAGCACAGTAAAAAATTCAGACTCAAACGCTCCGTTTTCTGCACTACTATACTCGACCAGGTTTGGCTCCAAACAAACTGGTATGAAACCACCAACAATAAACCATCAGTTATTCTGTTACCGTTACCTTTTTTTCCCTCAGTAGTCTCTCACTGCTACTGTCTCCTTCGGTATTTTTAGGAGTGATAACAATCTCCAAAACACGACTTTGTGGTTGATCAGAAGCACAATTCTCAGCTTTATCCTGTCATTGTCATCAGCAATGCAAACCAAGTCAGATTCTCCATCATGCACATCAGGATATCCACTCTGTTCTTTCTAAAAGTGAACATGGATGAAAAATTGGTAACAAGTGGCTAGAAATTATATAGTATTATATTCTCAATTGAGTAATTACATTTTTTCAAAATAACGTCGAAAATCGATAAAAAAAGCTAATTATAAGAAAAAAATATCTTTTATAGCTTTTCAAAAAAACTAATATTTTTCAAGTTACTGGCTAATTGATATATTTTGCTTCGTGAGCTATCATGCAAATAAGAAACACATACAATGTTTTTTTTTCATTTAAATCATATGGTTTAATGAGCGCTATTTCCACCAGAATTAAATTAATTCACAATCCATCTAGAATTCACTTCATTATAGACATCTCGATGGATTTTAGCAGATTCACTACTTTAGTACAAACTATTTTCAGAAAACTCACGATTTTATAAAAACTTTTCTTTCCGATTTTTTTAAAAATTGAACTTATTTTCATTATATCTCAAAAAGAATAAAAGATACGTATAAAAGCATATAGATAAAAATCAAAAAGATCTTTCTGGCTAATTATTTGTTGTTTTTTGTTATTTTCCTTTCACACTATTTGCCAGAAAGAATATATTTCATTACAAATTCATATCCATATCAAGCACCAAAGTAATAAAGAATACTTATAAAATCGGATATTTATGGAAAAATATATTATAAATATATTTGTTTCACTGGATTTAAAAAAAAAAACTAATTGCTATGCCAAAATAGATTCATCTAAAATTATAGTCTAAATATTACAATTTTGATAAATAATCATCCAATATTTTACAGTACGAAAATTGATGAAAAATTAATAAAAGTGCCAAAAATCAAACATTTAATAGGTTTGGACTCGAATTTCTCAGAACTTTATACATGTTAGTTTCAGGGACAGTATGAACATCAATTTATAGTCGAAAATTTATATGATAAGTGATTAAAACATTATAGATCACAATAAAAAAACGACATATTAAATTTAACATTAATCATAAACAAAATTTTCAAGTTCAAGTTCGAAAGAAATAAATTTTTAACGACTTCAATAAGAAACAAATAAATTAATTAATCCAAGTTATGTTATAGGCAATATTGCCAATCAAATTATAGATATAAATTTAATCATATTATATTAAATTTTCAACAAGACGAAAATATTTTGGCATTTAAAAATTTAGTGCATATTGGATATATGAAATTGACATTCAATATTTTTAAAATAAATGCAAAAGTAAAAAATCTGATATTTATATAAAAAATTATATATTTAAATAATGGTACTGCGTTGATTCAGACTAAAATCTAATTTATTCATTGATTAAAATAAAAAAATCACTATTTGACATAAATAAAATTAAAATAAACAAAACACTATAATGCGTTCGAATTAATTATCGAAATGTAAAGAAATTTGTGTAATGAAAATATAACATTATTATTAATATATCATGTATATTATAAGAACTTCTGCAAAGCGGCAAAACTTTTGATGGCAAAATAACATTTGCCGGGTCAGCTAGTATATATATATATATATAAACATATATATATATATATATATATATATATTAATAATAATACAAAATTTTTTATTATTATGGTGATTATGAATAGTATCTATCTTCATGGTACAGAATTTTGCCAGGCGATTTATTCTTATAGTAAAGTATCTTATGGCTGAGAGGTTCACGTGTTAATTAAATTAATATAGTTTTATATCACTATAGTCACATGAAAGTTTAATAATTGCAGCAACAAGAACAACAAATTTACGAGTTTAGACAAAATTATACTGGGTACTAGTGTTATATTAACTGTTTTTATTCAAGGGTTATTTTAAAAGGTAAAAAAATTATTAATATGGTAATTATTATTGAGATTTTGGAATAACATTCATATTATTTTGAATTTCTTAATTTTCTTTCAATTTCAAAATAATTTTTTCAAACAATTTTCTATCAAGGGGTTGTTTTTAAAGGGTTAAAAATTTGATAATCAAGATAGAAAACATATAATATTATTTACTTTATACGTAATTCTTATTATATCGTACCGAATATTTACCGTATATTTAAGTGTTTTATTTTTCAATTTAGAGGTTGTTTGAAAATTTTATGCAAATTGCAGCACAGTAAAAAAATTCAGAGGTTATACCCTCTTTCCTCTCCATTTACTGCAGTAATGAGCTCACCTCAACTTCTGAATTCCTCAAAACACCTTGGCTAGGTATTTCGTCAAATATTGGTTCATAGGGCTCTTCTGTTTCGGTTTTTGGGGTGCTCTGAAGATTATCTCCAAAAGTTTGAATATTGATGTGCACGAACGCGTTGCTATCCGAAGGTGCTGATAAAAAATTATACATGATTAGAAATTATACTTGAACGAGTGGACATTTACAATGGTCAGATTAGGGTTCGTCGGTTTTCAAAAACCGGTTTTTGGCGAAAATTTGGTTGACAGTGAAAAAATTGGTTTTCGCTGTATAAATGGAAAATGACAAATATAGCCAAATATAAAAGATAGATGAAAGCGTTTTGATTCTTGAAATCATATCGTTTCAATAGCATTTGATATCTTACCAGTCTGCAATGGTTCCCAGAAAGGTTTTGTATATATTAATTTAGATTTTTATACCAGTACATGTATTAATTTAAATCAGTGTGACTTCTTCTTGAAGAAGTAACTTCCTCTACTCAAACTTAAAATAAGAGTTTTAAACCCTAGAAGCCACAAATTAAAGAACAAAAAACTTAGAATTATTATATCAGGCTTTAAAAACAATTAAGCATAATTTGGTCGCAAGTATGAGAGTATCACCTATTTCAGGAATTTTTTGAGTAAACAAAGGACACGTCTAAGTAGCAATTCGATAGATGTTCTCAGTTTCTTGAAATCATATTTTATTAAACAAAAAAAACATTTAGAATGTTTAAAATTAATTAATTAATAATTAATAAATTGCTCGTAACAGACAATGCTCGAGTTTAGCTAATTGTTTTTAAGGGGCACAAATTGAATTGATTGAAAAAATCGATTTTTGTTTTTTTCATATAAATCATATTTTGATAGATTACACTTTTAAAAATAACATATTAAAATTTTAAATCGATATCTCAAATAGTTTGAGTTACAGCCATTTAAGAAGTATACATATAGTATCTCAAAACAGCATTTTCCGAATTTGCTGCAGTGATTACTCAAATCGAATGATCTGATCACTATTAAAATTTTTTTTACATGTTCTGCATATAGTTCTCTGTAAAATGAACTATCGATTTTTTGATCGGATCAAAAATCGAAATTTGGCAGTCGAAAAACGACCAAAATTTTGGGCAAAATTCGACTTTTCTTTTAAAACGCCGCCATTTTGTCAACTTTTGATTTATTTTTTTTATTGTAGTTCATTTCACTGACAATATTATCTAGTTTAACGAGAATTATTATTTTTTTATTTTATCCACGTAGAAGGCCGGAATCACTGCAGCAGTGAAGGACCTTTTTTTGTCGCGCCGTTGGAGATCGACGATAACTTAAAAAATATTTATTTTTTTTCTTCAAAAATTTCACTATGTATTTTTAAAGCTTGTATAAATATACTCCTAAAATTTTGAAATGATTGATAGAGTAGTTTTTTTAATATAAATTCCCAAAAACCACCTTTTTTTTAGGCTGTTACACTAGTTGTGCCCCTTAAAACAAAAATTGATATTAACAAGTATGTATCAACATGTATTTGATATTTTTTTATCTAATGATTTTTTTTATTTAAAAATGTATTATTTTTATTTATTCGAAAACTTTTCTTTCACTATCATAAAAATATTTTCATTCTTATATGTGAAAATGATGCTTGGATAACGAATAATTATTTTTAAGGTGATTTAATCAAGATAAACTATTATTTTTTAGTTAAACTAATTAAAATTAAAATAATTTTGTTTACTATCTATAAAATTAAACAATAAATAAATTCAGTCAAATACTGCTCTAAATTACACTAAATTTGCGGATAAATTTCAGAATATTCGAGCATAAATTTATTTTCTATATAAAATTCGAAAACCGGTTCAAACCGTTTTTTTAGTAAAATTTGAATTCGAAAACCGGTTTTCTGAAATGTCGGTTTTTGTATAAACCCTAGGCCAGATTCTTACTAGTTTCCTGAGTTATGACTTCAACGCCACCACCAAAAATATCGTCATCCTCATCAGATTTTGGAGGTTCATCCTTTGCAAGTTCACCATCTTTTTTATCCTCTTGTGCCGGGTCAATTGGTGGTCTGCGTACTGCAAATAACATTTTTCTAAAGAACATTTCTCGATTGAAAGAAGGATGGCCTCTGAACGCTGCCAAGGCGACAGCCTCCTGGACGGCTGGTGAATCTGGATCGAAACTCAAGTGTCCTATTTGGGATTGATCAGATCCAGATTGTTTGTCTTTGGATGCTTGATCGGCTTTGGCAGCAGAAAACTCGTCCATGAGCATTTCCATGATGCGGGAGATGAGGAACTGTTTGGTCATTTCGCGCCTAAAAACATAATAGACAGATATAGTATCTGTAAAACCGCACAAATGCAACGGAAATTGTTACGGCAAGGTCAAGTGAGAGTCATTTGCTCCCGATGGTATGATTTCTATACGGGTCGATTCTGATTGGTCGCATTTGTGCAAGGCTTCTTGGTATGCGTGACTTTATACGTGCGTACGTCACCGAAAGCGTAAAGCATATTGGTCAATTTTTATATCAAAACAATTTATGGTTAAATAGTAGTATAAATCGTGAGTTAATAAAAATGTCAGGATCGGAAGAATATTTTATCCCGACCCCCATAAATAATTGTAGTGCAAATAATGAAACAAAGGAAAAATCTGCGCTGCGTAAGAAGTGTAAATTTATTGTAGAAATTTGTATTATTCGAGTTTATCGAGGTTACCATATACCTTTGAGGTTATTACGAAAATGGAAAATATTTTTATAGACAAGACAGATACTACAGTTGCTCAAAGAATGAGACTGTATCGCCAGCGAAATAGTCAAAACAAACAAGCAGTCAATAAACGCATGTTAATTTCAATTACATAAAGTTCTACAAATACAATTACATGATTAATGTAATTGTGAAAACAATATTTTTTATTGGAAATTTAAAGAAAGTTTACATGTTTCTCTTTTATGATGGCTATGAAGACTAATTTTAATTTAATGTAATAGTAATTATAAATATTGGTGCAGGTTCAACTCTGAAAGATCAAGATTACATCGCCAAACAAAACAGCTGCAGGAAAATAATCGGTTACTGCCAATTTATTAGAAAATTTTGAGCCAGGTATCAATTTAGATGTTAATGTCAACACCAATGACATAAGTAAGAATCTTTTTTCGCAATTTGACTCCTGAAAAACGCTACAACTATTCACATTTAAACATATTATTCTGTTATGTTTTTAGATAGTACTGCTGTAACTTTTTCTGATACAGCAACTACATCACGTCAATTGCAAATTAATGATTCTGCTTATAATGTGACTAATAATGTGACAAGAACTGATCTTTTGCAAGAGTCAAATGAAGTATTTGAACTTCCATATAAAGATTTCAATTTGTTTAGGAATGCACGAAAATTATTTGAATAACAATTTACAAATGATAGCTTTGGCTATGTATGTTTTGTGCGTGATCGACTTTGGTTTCAAAGTGACTTAGAAATATCAAATAATGCTCAAAAACAAATTCTTAATAATGTATTTTTAATATTGATTTAAATAATCAGGTTGGATGTCAAACTTATCGAAAGATATTAAATTCGGGTAATTATATTATATTCCCACTTTGTGTAAATTTAACGGGTTTGAATTTCCACCTATATCAAATTATCTACCTAAACTAGATACTGTATCTGAAAGGTTAATTTCACCTAGGTTGTGTTTCATGCAAATTAGACGATTGCGACATGCAAATGGACAATTTGGAATATTTGGCCAAATTATAAATGTGCCTGTTGACGTTGATAATTTATTACCTCGTAATATTGATGATGATCATTGCATTAACGTTCACATGAAAAAAAAAATGATTCATAGATCAAGCTATGTGCAGGGCTTGATAAATAAAACAAATATAAAAGTATGGCTTCAATTGGCATGACAGCTGTTCAAAGACTGAGATTATAACGTCAGCAAAAAAGTAAAAAGATACAAACAAGTCAATGAATGTATGTCAATTTGAGTTACATGAAGTTCTTCAAGCACAATTATTACATGATGAGTGAAGTTACGAAAACAATATTTGTTTAGGCGTTGTTTAACTCTTTTTTTTTATCTTACCTCTTGTCATCAGCCTGGCCACCGTGTTCCTTGTCGGCCTCGTGGACAGCCTGCGCCAGAACCGTTGCAACCGTGGTTGCAGAAGTAGTCATATCTTCATTTTCTGCATCCTGTCGCATTTTTTCCTCGTTTAGTTTTGCTGCAGCAACCAGCATTGATGTAAGTCTGCCTGGACACTGGTTGTCGAAGCACTGGTCGCCGTGGTATGTGCATCTCCTAACCCTTAATAGATAGAAAAAATAGATAAACTCACTGTAATCAAATATGAAAAATTTTCCTATGGGGTAAAAAGGACAAGGTGATTAAAAAAACTAGTGGTGTATAGGATCGCGCCTTAAGGCAAATTGCTGGAACTTCCCGTACTGTAATGAAATATTCGAGAAATTTTAAACGTTTTCAAATAATGGGTTGTCAAATATCTCCCTTCCGCCTTTTTGTATTATAAACCAAGAGCAAAAAAGCGGAAGGAAGATATTTGACAACCTAATATATTATTACAAATACTGTAACTTTCATTAGTTTTGCTAATGCTAACTAAATTTCCAAAAAAATTCCTAATTTAAAGAAAATTGAAAAAGTGCTCCCGTATAGTCACAGTCTAAACGCATTTGCAAATAATTCTGTGCGACATTTTCACTTATACTGTGCTTAGCTTGGCGGCATTTTCACATTTTTCAATAGTTTTCACAAAATTGGAAAAGTGCTCCAGTACATAAACAGTCTAAACGCACTTGGGTAGACATTCGTACCAGAGTGGCGCTTAGACTGTGCTTAACCTAACTTACCGTAGGGTAAGTTATTGTAATGGGCCGAAAATCGAAATTGAAAATTTTTACATTTGAAGGTTTCTGAACATTTTGGCATACCTCAGAAAAAAATGGATGTGTGTGTGTGTTTTGTTTGTTAAAATAAAAGTTTGTTAAAAATATTCTCAAATTAACTCCTAATATAATATTAAGTTAAGATGGGTTTTAAGAGTCTTTTATTTTATTTTTATTTTTCAAATATTATTGATTCCTGAAAAGTTTTAATGCAAAGTTTTTAAATTAGAATGAAGAAATTAGTTTAATTGATGCAATTATTTTAAATTCTACAATTTTAGTTTGAAAAAATGATTTTAAAAAAAATTAAAGAAAACTTTTCCTAAATTCAAAATGTGTGCAAAAGCACAAACAAAAATTAATTCGTTTTCTTGCTAATTTTGATGTTTTTAAAACAATGTTTTACATTTTTATGAAGAAATTAGTTTAATCAAAGTAATATAATTATTTTAAATTACTGAAATTGGGAAAAATGATTTAAAGAAAATAAATTACTAAATTCAAAATGTATTCAAAAGCACAAACAAAAATTTGTTCGCTTTCTTGCTATTTTAATGTTTTTAACACAAAGCTTTAAATTTGTATTAAGAAATTAGTTTCACTAATTCACTACAAAGTAATTATTATAAATTACTATGATTTTAACTGGGACAAATTATTTAACAAAAATAACTTTTGTAAATTCAAAATGTATTCAACAACACCAACAAAAATTTATTGGTTTTCTTGCTAATTTTAATGTGAATTTTCACTAAAGAATAATTTAGCAAAATTATTTGAATTATTAATATTTATGTAAAAAAATTAAATAAAGAAATCCCAATTTATATAATTTTATTCTCAATATTTCAACTTAATATCAGGCATAAATATTTATTATGTAATTCTATAATAACTAAACCAATTTTATAAAATAAAACTAACAAAAAATATTTCTGGATAGCTATAACCAAGTTAGATCTAATTAATTAAAATTAAAATAAGTCTCTAAAAATATTGAAAACTTAATATTTTAGTTAGTTTTATTTTATAAAATTGTTTTAGTTAATATAGACTTACATAATAAATATTTATGCCTGATGTTGGAGTATTGAGAATAAAATTATATAAATTGTGATTTGTTTACGTAATTTTTTTACATTAATATTAATTATTCAAATAATTTTGCTAAATTATATTTAAAGAGCCTAATAAATTTTTTTAGTGAAAAGAAATGTGCAAGAGGAACATATTTCTAGAATGATGACTTAGCTGTTAGTTTTACTGAACATAGTCAGATGAGATAGTTGTTTGTTCGGTTTCTACAATATAGTTGCCCATTTTTACTACCCATTTTTTTGGCTCAAACACTTACAATGCCCTGATGAATCTTTGAACTCCTTCCCTAGCTTCAGGTTTAGTTTCGGGTTTCTCATGAACTTGTGCATATCCATCCAAAATGACTTGACCTACATCTTTTGGTTTTTCACCGTCTAATCCTGTAGACTCTGTGGTGGGTTGATCAATCTCTGCATTCTGAAAACAATAACAACTAGTTGGAAATAGCATTTTTCTTTAAGACAAACGAATGAAGATGCAGCTATTTAGGAAAAATGTTATGGCAAGGCCATGTTATGAAGAACTTCCCATACTAAATATTGAATAAAGCCACGTGGTTGCTATGCAGTCTGGCACTTTTCTCAGGTTGTCAGATAGAAAACCTAACCACCGCAAAAATGTCTAAAAACCGATGTTAGATAACAGTGGGTCTTTCTGACCCAGCTTCATAACATACGAGTGACGTTGCGGTTTATGTATAAAACGTCTGAATGCACAGCAAATACATGACATTTTGACAGTATTCAGTATGATTCAGTAGCATAATGTATGGTAACATGGCCTTGCCATAACTTTGGTCTGTTGTGAGGCGGAGTCGGTCCCTGAATCACTTTACCTCACTTTTCTTCATGAATTTTTTGTAGAATTGACTAATGTCCATCTTGAAAGCCAATTCTTCGGGTGATCCAGGCTGCACCGGGGCTAAAAGATAATATTTTTATATTAACTTAGTAATATTACAAAGGTTCATAAAATAATTATTTTACTGGACTGGACCTAAAACTCGTCTTCTGCGAAAAATCGAATTATGCGGAATATAGACGACTCACGTACTCACAAATATCGTTATTGAAAGATAAAAAATTAATACCACAAATTAATATCTATCCTTCGACTTATTGGTATTCATATTTAAATCACCAAGTGAATTTATAAAATTAAAATTTAATTTATAAGGTCGAAGGGTTCCATGACTAACTGGCTAAATGACAGCCTTATATTGTGCAGCAGAGATGTCAATTATCATTCGAAAATATAGATCAGAAATATTTTTCCAATTAAAAATAAGTCAATTTTTGGACATCACGTATAAAGTGGCAATGGGAAATACCTTATATTTTCTTTCCTAGAGCAGTACCATCCTTTACTTTTTTATAAGATGGAAGTGAAAATTTGGGGCAAAGAGCCTAATTTCGAAAGTTCGAATAAACAAGAGTGTTGAATATTTCTTTTAGATCTTTCTTTGTTACAGGTTGAAAACTTGTTGAAACTCAAAAAGTAATAAATTATTTAAAAGCCCAGCGATAATATATAAGAACCTTCAATCTCTAAATGTGCCAATTCAATTCAAATGTAATCAGTATCAGATTAGATTAAATATGTCTCATAAACATTTATATGTGGCATGCTTTGCACTGGGTAAACCAACCGTATAATTTGTGTTAGCTGTCCATTTCACTCATATAACACACTTCTACATTCTACATTCTACATTTATGCTAAATATTATCTAGCAATATTTTTGATTGCTGAACATTTGCCAGGCCAGCTAGTATATAATTATATATATATATATATATATATATATATATATATATATATTAGGGTTTCTATTTCTATACCTTCGGTGATAACTTTCAAAGGTGTAATGATTCCTTGTTCATCTATTTTCTGAGCTTCCAAAATCGAACCAAGTGTATTGTATTGCGAATCGGCATCTGAGATAAAACAAAAATTTTAATTATTTTACTTTTAAAATAATTATCAACAATTGAAGTAAAACTTCTTTAGGCGCGACTAGGGTGTAAGTCCGTGCAAGTGCAACGGAAGTCTCTCGTAGTACAAATCTCGATTTAATGAGAAATTCCTTAATCAGAAAAATATTTTACTCTGTTTCTTGAAAATAATAAAACAAATTAAACATTTGTGCCGTGTATTAAACGTAAGTTTGTTGATTAGAAATTATTTCTATATTATTCGTAGTTTCTATAAATCTTTGAAGTTATTAAAATGGAAAATATTTTGTAGGCAAAACAGATATTACAGCTGTTCAAAAAATGAGATTATATCGCCAGCGAAAAAGTAAAAAAATACAAGCAGTCAATGAATGTATGTTAATTTTAATCACATGAAGTTCTTCAAACACAATTACATGATGAGTATGTGAAAACCATATTTGTTTAGGCGTTGTTTAACATAATCCATTGTGTGAACGAATATTATAGAATTTATTAATCAGCAATTACTTTATTTCTCTAATGAATGTTTATTTGTAAATTACAATGACAAACCGTTCATGTCAATTTGAAGTATGGCTTTAATTGCATTATTGTTTTTAAATATTATACATATTTTAATGCTATTATAAATGTATAATTTATAATTTATCATTATATAAATGTGTATAATGTTTGACACTAATAAGTGTGTGCATCACGAGTGTTACCATATTTCTAATAAACAATATTCAAAATTGTTATATGATGTATTTATTTTTAATTAAATGCCATCTTGCACAGTAGCAAATAAGTTTTACTTCAATTGCATGTGAACCTTATGCGCACTTTTTTTTACTATCAATAATTGTTTTACCTTGATTGTTGCTCGGAACAGTTAACTTGTTGACAGCCATTTCTTGTAAATTTGAAGGAACTTCTTGTGCAATTTCAAATGTAGCTAGAAAATAATAGAAAAAAAATATTTTCAAAGTTATCATATAATTATTACCAATGAATTATTATTATATTTATATTATTATTTTACCTTGGTCGTTGTTCGGGGCAGTTAGTTTGTTGACGGTGACTTCTGGTAAATTTGAAGGGACTTCTCGTACAATATCAAATGAAGCTAAAAATAAGATTCCATTAAATATTAAAAATTGAATTCGCATATCTATTTGTGGAATATTTTTTAAATTTTCAACCTGTTGGTAAAACGACTGCCATTTCCCTTTCCCTGGGCCTAACATTATCTACAACCACTAAGGGCGGCCTGGTGTTTCGTCTGCGAATCATCCTTTGTTGGGGACTCGGCCAAAAGTGTTTTCTTCGGGGAACCATTCGGGTTTCTCGGCCACCTGGTTATAGCAATCGCAAAAAATAAAACATGTTATAGTAATCGCAAAAAAAGAAACAAAAACTAGTGGTGTATAGCATCGTGCCTTAAGGCAAATTGCTCAAACTTCCCGTACCGTAATGAAATATTCGAGAAATTTTAAACGTTTTCGAATATATTATTACAAATACTGTAACTTTCATTATTTTTGCTATCTTGTTTTATCTGAGCAAATCAAATGTAAATCACAAATCAATTTATATCCAGAACATTAACAATCGTCATTTCACATAGAATTCAATTTCAAAAAAATAGTGGCCCAATTTACACAAAATTGAAAAAGTGCTCCCGTATAGTCACAGTCTAAACGCATTTGCAAATAAATTCTGTGCGACACTTTCACTTATACTGTGCTTAGCTTGGCGGAATTTTCACATTTTTCAATAGTTTTCACAAAATTGCTCACAAAAGTGCTCCAGTACATAAACAGTCTAAACGCACTCGGGTAAACATTTATACCAGGGTGGCGCTTAGACTGTGCTTAGCCTGGGTAATTTTTGTAAATGTTTAATCCAAAATTACAAAAATATTTCATGGAAAATAAAAAAGGTGTAATAATTTTTTATCCTCAAAAGCAATTGTTTTGTCAATACAAGCAGAAAGTTTTTTGGATCATTCAAATCGGACCTAAGCGTCACTCAAAAACTGCAATTTTTTGCACATTTAGCTCTGTATCTTTGAAATGGCGGGACCTGCCTTTGCCAAAAACTAATCAGCACATCTCCCTATCAATAGGAATCGAATGTTTTTCGAACCATTCAAATCGGTTGATCCGTGCGCCCGAAAACGTGGACGAAAAAATGCGGACATAAAAAACGCACACACACATCCATTTGATCTGAGGTATGCCAAAATATTCAGAAAAACTTTGAAACGTAAAGATATATAAAAATTTACACTGTCTACTCAAGCAAAATGTTTTTTGAATTAATCTAATCAGATGATCCGTCCCCTCAAAAACTGCGTAACCGTTTTTACACCCTTTGCGCTCCATATCTCCGAAATGGCAAAATTGCCTTTTGCAAAAATGTCTCGCGATCGTGTACGAACAGAATGGTTTTTTAATCATGTAAATCAGTTATTTCATACTGTGGAAAATGTCAAAGACATTTGTTTGAATCATATAAATAAACTTGAAAATTAAAAATCTTGGTACGGAACCCAAAAAAGTTTACATAATATGGGTACACATTATTAAAATCTCTATAAAATATCTGATATGATGTGCATATGTCTAATGATCATTTTTGATCGCTAAAAAGGCATTTTTTAACTTATTTTTATTGAGAGTCTATAACCGCTAGACCTGCCTTCCTAAAAATTCAGTTAGTTATTTATCTTGTCAATACAAGTAAAAAGTTTTTTGAATTATTAAAATCAGATGCTCCGTTCTGTTAAAAACTGAGTTTCCATTTTTGGCACTTTTTGCCCCGTATCTTCGAAACGCCTAGACCTGCCTTCGCGAAAAACTAACCAGCACGTCTCCTTCGAATGTTTTTTGAATTATTCAAATCGGTTGATCCGTGTTCCCAAAATAGTCGACAAAAAATTTGTATCCGCACACACACACACATCCATTTTTTCTGATTGTGAGGTAAAATGTCGAGATATGCAAAAATTTTCATATTCGATTTTCCCTACGGGAAGTTTATGAAATTTTTGATAGAGTTGAGCAGGGTTTGAAGGTCCATCACCGATATCTCAAAAACAAGTGAAGTTAAGAATTTTTTACCAACAATATTTGAAAGTAGAGGGTAAAAGATGTATAACCAGCCATCTCCTTGATTCTTAGGTCGAGAGATAAACGGCAATCCCTAAAAATTCATACCAAAAGTATTTAGATTTTAACAACTTACGTTGTTACTGTTTTTGATCGTGAGCACTAATTTGATCTTTATGCCCAGTTCTACCCTGTCTGAAAAAAATTGCAAGAATTTTCTAAAACATTATTACCGTATTCCATATTTTCATCATCGGGCATCAAAGGTTGATCATAGGTGTGGTCTTCCGGATTAAGATTTTGTTTTCTTAAATCGTCCCTCATTCTTTCCATAAATCTCATCTTCTCCATCACTGCGAAGGGAATATTCTGAAAATAAAATTTAGCATTTAACAAAAACCTTATGATAATTGGACATATAGTGAATTTATCAACAAAAGTATTTTTTCTCCTTTTGATTTTTAATTTTGAGCACTGTTGTTTAGTTGACGATAGCTCTATATACTTTGTAGGGGGAAGTCCCGTAACGCCGGACGGCACCAAGCACCGGACACTATTTAGCACGTATTATTCTAGCATATTTACGCATTTACATTTGAGTGGTATGCAAAGATAAAAGTTGTACTTGATTGTTATCCTTAAAATTGTAAAATTCTAATAAATTTTTTAACCAGTTTTAGTGGGTGCCACCAAATGAACGAAAATGTCTGTCCCTTAGCACCGGACACTAAGTCGTCCCTTAGTGCCGGACAGTAAACATATTGATATTTCTTGTGAGAATTTACGTAAGATATTCCAATTATTTAATTTTATTCTGTATGAGTGCTAACGGTCACTACATACCCCCATTTTTCGTATTTTCTAGTCAAAGAATGAAAAGCTTATGAATGCACCAGCTGAGAGCATCGGTGTGGCTCAGCCAAAAGGCTGGATGAATAGTGACTTTTTTTTGCAATATCTAAGAATATTCGTCAAAAACACATGTGCAGACATTCCAGAGTGTGGAGATGGCTACATATGTGATCAATGCAGATTATTTTGAAATGTCCGGTACTAGGTGCCACTGGTAAAAATCATTTTTTGACAGCAAAGTTTGATTGATAGTATTAATTATTTTTAGCAAAGATTGCGGTTTTGTTAATTTTGTTTGATTTCTAACTTTGTTATTTAACATAAGTCATAATTCAATAAAGATTTCGTAAAATATTTTTTGATTTATTTGTAAATACCCTTAGGTGTCTGCCACTTGGGGACTTCCCCTATAGTAAATTTTTCAACAAAAGTATTTTTTCTCCTTGATATTTATTTTTGGTTTAGAGCACTGTTGTTCAGTTGACGATAGCTGGATTTAATATTCTAAGTATACGTTATTTAATTGTTTTATTATGTGTAGTGATATTTTTACGTTAGATCCAATAGTTTTTTTATATGGCTTCTAAAATAGCTTTTATGTGGATGGGATAAAAAGCACAACCTACCCTTTCAATTATTTATTTTTCCTACCTGAGGATTTGATTCATCTGTTGGTCCATTGTTTTCGCCTTCACTTCCAAAACAAAATGCTTCCTTTGGCATATCACTTCCTTTTTCTTCTCGGAGTTGCTCCTGGTTGCCATTATTGTTAATTTGGTCATTAGCCTGTACGTCCCTCTTCTTGATTCTATCTTCTCGGGGTTGCTCTTGGTTGCCATTGGTGTTTATTTGGCCTTCAGCCTGTGCGTCCCTTTTTCTGATTATTTCAACTTGGAGTTGCTCTTGGTTACCATTGTTGTTTATTTGACCATCGGCCTGTTGCGTCCCTTTTTGTGATCATTTTATCTTGGGGTGTTCTTGGTTATCATTATTGTTTATTAGACCATCAGCCTGTGCTTCCCTTTTTCTAATCATTTCATCTTGGAGTGGCTCATGGTTACAATTATTGTTTATTTGACCATCAGCCTGTACGTCCCTTTTTTTAATTCTATCTTCTCGGGGTTGCTCCTGGTTACCATTAGTGTTTATTTGACCATCAGCTTGTACGTCCCTTTTCTTGATTCTATCTTCTCGGGGTTGCTCCTGGTTGCTGTTGATTTGGCTATCAGCCTGTGTGTTTACTTTCGTAGTTACTTCTTCTCGAGAATGCTCTTGGTTGGCGTCGTTGTTTATTTGACCATCAGCCTGTGTGCCCCTTTTCTTGATTTTATCTTCTCGGAGTTGTTCCTGGTTGCTGTTGATTTGGCCATCAGTCTGTGTATTTCCTGTCGCACTAACTTCTTCTCGAAGCTGCCCTTGGTTGCTGTTGAAGTTTATTTGACCATCAGCCTGTGTGTTTTCCTTTGTAGTTATTCTTCTTGAGGTGCTCTTGGTTACTGTTATATTTTTTTGACCATCAGCCTGTGCGTCTCTTTTCGAATCATTTCATCTTGGAGTTGCTCTTGGTTACCATTGTTGTTTATTTGGCCATCAGCATGTACATCCCTTTTACTGATTTTTTTTCCTTGGAGTTGCTCTTGGTTACCATTGTTGTTTATTTGACCTTCATCTGTACGTCCCTTTTAACTGATTCTATCTTCTCGGGGTTGCTCTTGGTTGCCATTGTGGTTCTTTGGCTATCGGCCTGTGTGTCCCTTTTCCTGATTGTTTCTCTTCTTGGAGTTGCTCCTGATTGTCGCTAATTTTGACCATCAGCCTGCACGTCCCTCTTACTGATTTTTTTCTTCTTGGGGTTGCTCTTGGTTGCCATTGTTGTTCGTTTGTTCACCAGCCTGTGCCTTTTCTCCTTGTTCCTGTTTGTTGCTCATTTGATCATCAGCCTGTGCCTTTTCTCCTTGTTTCTGAAGCTGCTCCTGTTTGTTGCTCACTTGACCATCAGCCTGTGCTTTTTCTCCTTGTTCCTGAATTTTCTCTTGGTTACCGTTATTTTGGCCGCCAGCCTCTGCCTTTCTTTTTTCTTTCTGGAGTTGCTCCTGGTTGTTGCTCATTTGACCACCAGTCTCTGCCTTTTGTCCTTGTTCCTGAAGTTCCTCCTCCTTGTTGTTGTTTATTCGACCATCAGCCTGTGCCTTCTTTATTTCTTCCTGAGGTTGCTCCTGGTTGTTAACTTGATCACTGGTCTCTGCCTTTCGTTTTGCTTTCTGAAGTGGCTCTTGGTTACCGTTGTTTTGACCAACATCCTGTGCGTTATTTGTTTTCTTCCTGAATTTGCTCTTGGTTACCGTTGTTTTGACCACCAGCCTGCGCCTGTCTTCTTTCTTTCTGGGGTTGCTCCTGGTTGTTATTTAGTTGACCACCAGCTTTGGCCTTTCTTTGTTCT